CAGCTGGACAACCTGCTACCTCAAAACAACGGCATAACGACCAACAAAGATACAGAAACGGTTTAATATCTGTGAGAAAAGTATTTATTTATTGTTTAACACTGAAGCCTGTGGATACACATCAGCTTTATATTTATTAATAATAATAATAATAATAATAATAATAATAATAATACATTTTATTTATAAGCGCTTTTCAAAAACTCAAAGACACTGTACAAATAGTTAAAAACCGAAAGAACAGCACAGTAAGGAAAGACTAACAGACATTGCAACAGTACACACAAATCATAAAGATAACAACAATAAAGGTAAACTACAGAAAACAGAAAATACATCACAATCATACATTAAAAGCTTGTTTTACAGAGATCAGTTTTGATAAGTGATTTGAAAGTAGGAGGGTCGGTGCAGTGTTGAATGTGTGTAGGGAGTGAGTTCCAGAGGGAGGGGGCAGCTATGGAGAAGGCTCTGTCCCCCAAGGTTATTTGTTGTATTTGTTTTTGACTGTTAGTTAGTTATTTAGTCAGTTAGTTAGTTAGTTAGTAAACTGTTATCTGTGTCCCTTATTATCAACAATGTGTCTGGAGTGAGATGGCTGACATTGGGTGACTCTTGCAATGTGACGAATTGAGTCCAAAGTACCAAACTGAGAGAGAAAAGTGTTAAGCTTTTGTGTATGTTTTAGGAATTATTTTAGGACTACATTATTAAATTATTAAAGCGTTTTCTTCTCCTATATTTCGATTCTTTGTGTTTCTTTATTTTCTATTTCTTCTCATACACTTTTCCTCCAACTTAAAAACATCCAGTACAGTTTAAGTCAAGATTGATTTTGTATGTTTAGTGTTTAGATATTTGGTATCCTCTATGCATGTGAAGGTAGTTTGAACAAGTCACAAAAAAAGTGGTGACACTGAAAACAGCAACCATGAAAAAAGGTGATCAGAAACGGTTTCAATCATGGAATTAAAATTTAAATGATTGTAAATTTAACTTACTTTTCAATGGCTTATTTAAACGTACAATATGTAGAATTGTATTAAAATGTTAACATTAAAATATCTAAATGAATAAAAAATTGGCTAAACCTATGTTATATCTTCAAGATTCAAGATTACCATTATTTGTCTCACAAAGTGAATAATTTGTCTTGGGCTCTTCACCCGAGCTGCAGCCATAAAAAAAGACAACAATCAACATCATTCACATCAAACATAAAACAATAAACAGTATTTAGTAAAAGTTAAGTATATAAATAACATCAGGTTCTTAAAATACCAGTGCAAACACGCAAAGACAATTCCAGTGCCTATCAGTCTTATTTGCCACTATTTCAAAGTTTTATAGACACAAGGATAAATTAATTTTTAAACCTCTGAACCTCCTCCCAGAGGGCAGCAGCTCGTACTCTGTATGTAGAACATGGGATGAGTCACTGACAGTTTTATTGGCTTGCTTTAGAGAAGTCAGTTCCAAAATAGTCTGCAGGGATGTGTGATGTTTACCTCCTCTAATTTTCCAAGCAGTCTGAATCAATCTGATCGGACAGGTTGCCAAACCATGCTGTGATACCATACATGATTAGGCTATATGTTATTGTTGAGTACTTACATTCCCTCAAATATTTTAAACAGTTATCAAAGCCAGAGAAATCCCTAATTTTATAGTTGTAATAGGCGGCCACCATGACAGAGACGACATGTTTACCATTGCCATGGAAACACTGCATGTTACGTCAAAGACAGCTACACATGAAAGTGGGAAATAAACAACTAGTTGTTGGTGAATATCATGACCGTGACCATACGATTAAGAAATACTTTGGGGCCACAGTCAACATCCCTACAGATGGAATAACTGCGCCCGGATAATACAGACATTTTCACCTTTACACGCCCCACGTGGAAGTGATTTACAAATTACTGGATCAATAAATACAAACACAGCCACAAAATATAATATTATGTTTGAGTGAGACATTCCCTTTAGTGAATAAATCTACCTTCGGTGCTTCAAGTATAGTTTTTACTCTTATTTGCCCCATCTCTCTGGAAGCAGAACAGTAAACATACTCTTAAAAATAAGGAGCTTTGTTTTGTATCAAACTGGAGAGGTCGACTTTGATAACAATGAAAATAAATATAGGTATGAAGACACTTACATAGATTTTTATTGAAACAGAAATGCAGCTGACTTGAAGACTTTTTTAGTACAGTAGAAATCTAGGATTCATTCATGTCCCTATCCTTCTTCCTGCATCTCCCTCTGTCCCATTTTATCTGTTCTTCATGAGTCTGGTTCTGCTCGAGGTTTCTGCCTCTTAAAAGGTTTTTCTTGCCAATTTGTAATATTACAAAGAGCAAGGTCTTTTACCTGAAAGTGTCTTGACATTTGTCATGAATTGGCATTATACAAATAAAGATTGATTGATCATGTGTTAACCAGGAGTCGTACAATAGCTAGCTCAATTAAATGATTTGTAACCTCACTGCAACGTTTAACTTGGAGGTATAGTTCACTGATTATCATGCACAAGTGCTGCTTTGAACAAATATTCTGAAGATAATCAAATATCACTGTTTATGTAAAGTCACACAGCCGCTGTGCTTAACTTTATGTTTTGAAGTTTTAAACACTTCAATTATACAGAATCTGTTTTGGCTTGTGCTCAGCAGGTCCTCTAAATAATTGCATCAAGCTGCTGAGTTTTCTCTGTTGAACTCCATCAAACAGTAACGACAGTAACAGGTCACCTTAACTATTTTAAAGAAGCTGAGTTGGACCAGTGCCAGTCGGTGAAGAGGAGCGTAGAGTAGCTCCTGCTAAACATTTTTTCATACTTCTAAAACTTAAGATTTTGATATATTGAATTAATGACTGCAACCTTTAATGACCTCCTGGAAGAGGCGGGGGCTTTCGGCCGCTGTCAGAAGCGCACCTTCGCCCTGCTCTGTATGGGGGGCTTGCCCAGTGCAGGTGTGTATGTCTCCAATCTTTCACCTCTGATCACTGTTGACGGGGGGAAGGGAAGAAGCTGTCCCTGCCAACTTCAGCGGGGCAGTTATAATGAGCACTAATTAAGAATAACAAAAGTTTAAAAAAGGAAAAGTGCAACAAAGGTGAGAGCAATGCTGCAGAAAATGATCGTATTAATATGCAAACTAAGATGTTTAATCTATCCTCACTGCCTCCAGCCAGTTAATTTCTAACAGTAACTGCATCGTGTAGCGCTCTTAAACTTCAACAGTGATGCAAACGATTTCAAGAGTGTTGTGTAAGAACTGTGTTTAGGTCTTTGCCCATCTCTTGGTTAGGAGTACACTGAAACCCCTTTGGTATTTGGCCATGTCAACATCATGTAAAACAGTCTTGGCTTGACATAAGAACCAAGCCTAGACTGTAAGACTCTTATTCTGTCAATGTATGAATAATCTGCTGTCTGGACTTTAAAGGGTTAATATCACCTAAAGCAAGATGGCCGAAGACAAATGCATGGAGCTATAATTGTTGCAAAACTATTTAAAAATGCATAAAATAGATCCACATATGTGTGCACAGATCTGTAAACAGATACACACATGCTTAAAAATGTTTTGGACCAGTGTACACATTTGTGAATCTGAAGCCGTATTCAGACTGCCGCTTCAAGCTGCCATATTTACCCCCTTGTAACGTTTCGTCTTCAATCTGAAATCGCGGCGGTGTAATGGGGGGGGGGGAGGGAAGTGATCCCGCCTCGACAGGCATGGCAGACAACTGCTTGGGGCCCCTGATAGCTCACAAATTTAAACATAAGCAGTGGCACAAAATGTGCAAATTTTGCTATGACAGTAGGAAACCTCCCTCCCATCTGTTGCCCTGCAAAGTGTTGCAAGCACTATTGATTTGAAACCAAAGTTTGTCAATCTAAGTCACCAAAGGAAAATAAAGCGGAATTCTTTGTCTATAGGAGAGAAAAAATAAAGAGGAAAAAAGAGGAAGTGTCAATCTGGAGCTCTCACAACGCTGAAACACGTTGTGAATGCACAGACTGTGACACTAATATTACACCGTCGCGGAATCAATATGAATGTACAAAGACGTGATGACGGCTGAGCTTAGTTACGGCAACTTGACGACAAAAAGCAGTCTGAAAAGAGCTTGTGAATGCATTTGTGGATCTGTGTACACACACAATACCTGAATCTGTTTATGCATTTGCAGGATCTCTAAACAGATCTATAAATTGTAGTTTTACAACAATAATACCTCGATACCAGCAGGTCAAATGTATTGCATCTCTAACTGTAGGTTACTGCAACACATGCAATACACACAATAATTTGTATCTATTACTAATGTAACACTTCTGTTCAACACATTTGCAAATATAATACATACTCTCAGAAGAGACATTCATATAGTTTAATGAGAATATGACCATGAAAGAATTAGGGAAAGATCAGATTTGTACTGCTGCATTCATTAAAAAAAACCTGCAACAAAACCTTCTCTGATGCAGGTGTGCAGTCAACCACTGCAGAGACTTTAATGTCCCTTTATGTGCAGAACTCATTGTTGCACATCAGCTGATATTATGATCCAAAACTCCTTAACCGGTGACATATTCATGGCTCACATAAGGTCTTCCTTTGATCCTGAATTAATGGTGCACCACAGGAGTACATGATCCATCCTGAATTCAGTCATGCATTAAATCACCAGCAGTCATAAACTACAAAATAACCTCTAAATAATATAGCTTGAACCCTCTTTTTAAAGTGATACAGCAAGTTTCAGTTCACTCATTTTATGCCAAAGCTGCTTTGAATACTATCTTCAGATAATAAAAGATAGCTGTCTGTGTGTTAAGCAGCAGTCTGTGTGTTAAGCAGCAGTCTGTGTGTTAATCAGCAGCTGTGCGTAAAGTTGTGTTGTGTAACCCTTGTACACTTCAAGCATACAGAATGTGTTTTGGCTTGAGCTCAGCAGGTCCATTCAGTGATTGCATAATTCTGCTGCCTTCCTCTGTTTAACTCCATCAAACAGTAACGTGTTTTCAGCTCCACTGCAGATTTAACTATTTAGAAGAGGGGATTTTTTTTTTTTTTTTCTTGGACTTTAGCGTCAGATTGACTTACATTGTGAAGAGGAGAGTGAAGAGTATCATAAACTCTACCACTTCAATCTGTGCTTTGCTGAAGAGCACAGACTTTGACTTCATACAGTAGATCAAAAACTTGGATACACTTTGTGATGGCGACCTTTGATGATCTCTTGGAAGATGCAGGGACTTTCGGCCGCTGTCAGAAGCGTATCTTCGCCTTGCTCTGCATTGTTTCCTTCCCGTTTTCAGGTGTATACCTGGGTATCGTCTTCCAGGGCTACACCCCGGATCACTGGTGTCGAAGCTCTGCGGTGGTGGAGAGGAGGCAGGAGTGTGGCTGGAGCCTGGCACACGGTCGCAGGCTGACACTGCCTCTGGTCAACAGCTCTGGAGAGCAGCAGCAGAGCAGCTGTGAGCAGTACGACGTGGACTGGAACACAACGAAGCTCACCTGCCTCACACAGGAACTGAACCTGACCAACCTTCCTGTTACCTCATGCAAGGTGAGCTCTCTGAGACTGACTTCAGTAAATGCTTTCTCACTAATTTTGATAAAGATTTCAGATGTTTCAGTGGATGACTGGTCCTGGTTTCATCTACACACAAAAAAACCTTCAAATTCAATTTATATGAAAAATTAGTATCTTCAGTTTTCATAACCAACATGAAAATCGCTTAATGCAATTTAAGCGACTGGAAATGGTAAATATTCTGAAAGATAGTTTTACGAAATACTATTGTTTGCAGGGAGGGTTGCAGGGAACGTTATGAGAAGATGAATGCCCTCTCTTCTTGTCCAGTAAATATGAATCAGCTGTCATTTGCTATTTAGCCTAGCCTGGCTTAGCTTAGCTTGGCTTAGTGTAGCTTAGTTTATTTTAGTTTGGTTTATTTTAGCTTTTTCATTTTGCGGAGTCGCAGGAATCAAAGATTAACGTCCAACCTGACTACGCTTAAAGTATCAATAATTTTCCTGCTGAGCAAGACTAGCTGCTAACCCTTGTGCAAACTAATGGCAAGGCTAACCAGTGCTTATCAGTCCTACATTTGTTTTACATTGAAGAGTTACTCTCTGACAGGAAGCAAAAGAGTGCGTTCCCTGGCCTTCAAAACTGCAGGAGTGGGTAGCGTTTGTGATTGTATTCTCGACGATATGAATTGACTTTTTGATTCAAACCAAAAGCGAGCAAGTTAATCTTCAATTTGTTTATATTTGTTTTTTGTTTGTTGAGAAGGGATGTCCACTCACGTGACCTTAAAGTTGTACAATGATGTTTTTGTGGCTGTGCAGCTGGAAAAACAGCTCTCTCTGGCCCCCCTGAGACGTAAAAAAAAAAAAAAAGTTCTGGCAGCAGTGTGTGCAGATTCTCAGAAGTTCAGAGACATAAATCAGAGAAGGAGGATTCAGTGTGCAAAGGCACTTCTCATTTTTGTTCAATGAGTCACACCAGTTAGAGTTGTATTTCTATCTGATTAAAAGGACGTTTTTATTAGTCACATAGAATTTTTGTCTTTATATGAGCCCTGTCTGATTGGTCTTAACTGTTTTGTTTGTTTTTTTCTTTAAGGATGGCTGGGAGTATCAGTATGAAGGCAGAAAGTCCTTTGTCACAGAGGTGAGAAAATAATTAAATGCATTTGTATTTACATAAAAGGTTAATTTCAGAAACATTTCGATCTGCTCCAAATTTAAATAAAACATGTTTGAGGTCAAGTCCAATATTCTTAAAGGTCACATATTATACAAAACACACTTTATCTTGTTTCTCTAGCACTAACATGTGTCTCTATCTCTACAAACCCCCCAATGATGAGAAAAGTCCATCCTCTCCGTCTTTTCCCTGCTCCACTTTTCAGAAAATGTTTGCTCAAACAGGCCGTTGGGAGATTTTCCCTTCATGACATCACAAAGGGCAGTAACCCCTCCCCCAGGTGGGTGACACTCCCACAGCTGTGTTTGTTCTGCCCTCTGAGTCTGCCTTCTCAACGTAAACAATAGGACATGGAGCGAGAAAGCACAGAGTACACCCAAGCTACTTCCAGAGAGGGGGCGTGGTCAGACACAGCTCATTTACATATTTAAAGGTACAGACACAGACACAGCCTGTTCTGAGCAGGGCTGAAATAGAGGGGTTTATAGATATGATCAAATACGGGATCAGAGTGGATTTAGAACAAGAAACTTCACACACATGTTTTGAGGAGCTCTGAGACTTGTTTACACTGGTAGAAGAGGAGGACAATTTGTCACCTTTAAATTGAAGAGAAACCAGTTTAATATCATACTGTACAGACATGAAGTCATCCTGCATGTAGATGTGTAACCTTTGCCCTTATTGCTCTCAGTTTAACCTGGTGTGTAAAGATGCATGGTTGGTGGACATGTACCAGTCCACTCTCAATATGGGTTTCCTCATTGGCAGCTTTGCTTTTGGATATTTTGCTGACAGGTGAGGCATTCAATTATTTTAATACAACCACATAATCTTTTGTATTGGCTACATTTGTACTTCTATTAGTAGCAAACCATCAGGAGGATTGGAAAGAGAGTATTTAATGCACAGCAGACAACATGGTATCAATTCAAAAGAGTCTATAACTGTATTCTAAGTAGTTGTAGTTACTGTAGATTATAGTTAATGGTTAGTAACCTCTATCATATGCTTTTGTTTGACCCCTTTTTATCAATCCTCTCCCTTTTTAACGTCAGCCTAAACTCAGCTGATATGCACTTTCTGTTTTGTATTTTAATGATTTCCAATACTTTCTATCAAATCCTTCCCTCATATGCGTAATTCTTAACCATTGTATCATCTCTTCTTTTCTGTAGGTTCGGCAGGAAGATCAGCTTCTTGATATCCAACATATTAAATTTTGTCGCTGGGATTGTTCTGGCTGTGGCTCCAAACTACGTCTCCATCCTCGTGATGAGGATCATCTTCGCATTTGGGGTCAAAGGAGGCTGGATGGCTTCATACGTGCTGCGTAATGATGATTTTTTAAAATGTTTTCTTTGCAAACATCGCAATAAGCACATCTACTGTAACTAACTTACTGGCTAAATAACAAGATTTGTATTCTTGAACTGTAAACGCATAAAATGGACTCAGACAGACGTGCTATTTGTGATTGGACATTACAGCATAAAAAATGTGTTTTTGAACAGTTCCAAAGTCTAGCTAGTGGTCACAGTTAAAAATGTTCCTCTGGAAATCCAACTTTAAGAACACAGAGAACCATTAACTTTCAATATAAGAGTCATGTAGTGGCATATATGACACTGCAAAGCCCTGCTTAAAGTTATACCTGTTTTATGTTAATCAATCTTTGAGAATACTGATTTCAACAAAGCACACAGGGAAACATTAATTACTTAAAGAAGTGGCTATATATGACACTTTGTGGCCCTTTCTCTTCTGCAAAGCCCTCCTTTATGGTCCTACATCACAATACATCCTAAAGGACACTAGTCCATTACTCCCATAGAAAGAGCAATGTAGAGAGCACTCAGAGTTTTCTCCATTAAAGGGCACCCTCATTGGCACGCCATGAATTTCCTCTAGTAGAAGGGAACAGAGAATGTCATATTTTCTCCCCCAAAAGAGCCCCTTGCTGGTACTGGATCACATTTTCTCCACTTAAAAAGCTAGCTAGAAGCTACTTCTTTACATTTTCTCCGCTGGACATTGTCACATTTTCTCCACTAGAAGAGCTCCCGAGTGCAGAGGTTCTCAACCTAAGGACCCACCACCAACTCCTTCTTGAAAATCTTGACCCAATTTTCTGATATTTTTTCAACCAATCAGATTTATTGAATGGAAAATAGTGCAGTTTGGACCTTAGATGGTCCGAAACATGACGGAACAAAGAGAAGGAACAAAACCAACATGTTTTGCGACCCACTGAAAACGGCTCTTCGACTCACTTTTGGGTCCCGACCCACCAGTTGAGCACCACTGCCCTAGAGGACACTGAGAGATTCCCCAACTGAAAGGTCACTCTTGATATAATTTCTTCCATTTTGGGACCCTAAAGAGCAGAGCATTGGGTTTTCTCCACTAAAAAACCCCACCTTTGATTACATATCACACTTTCTCCACTAGAAGGTCACTTATTGCTGAATTGTATTATCATGTATTCTCGAGAAATATCATCCAGTGTCCTGTCTGTCTCTCAGTCACAGAGATCGTTGGGGTGGAGTACAGACGGACGGTGGGCATCTTATTTCAGATGTTCTTCAGTGTTGGAAACATCATCCTCCCTCTGCTCGCCTACTTCATCACTGACTGGCGTTGGCTACAAGTCATCATCTCTGCGCCCTACATCTTTTTCCTGTCCTACTACTGGTAAATGAGCCACATTTGTTTAAACATAGTTAGACAACCACCAACTTTAATCTTACTTTTGGTAATCATTAGGCTTGCTTGTTTGGTAGACTTTTTGGCTTCTGTTCGTAAAGAAATCTGCTGATTATTAAACAGGTTGCTTTTTACAAAAGTTGGCTTTATTATGCCTTTATTTAGATAGGACAGTGGATAGAGGCTGAAATCGGGAAGAGTGAGAGTGGGGAATGACATGCAGGAAAGGAACCACAGGTTGGATTTGAACCTGGGCCGACCTGCTTGGAGGACTATGGCCTCCGCTCATGGGCCACACGTACTAACCATTAGGCTAACAGCGCCCTGGAAACGTTTGTTTGTTAACTTTTTTTTGTGTTGCAGGTTAATTCCAGAGTCTCCAAGGTGGCTCATTTCTCAGAAAAACACCTCTAAAGCTTTGGAGATCACTGAAGCGATAGCCAAAGAGAACAAGATAAAACTCTCCAAGACTTTTGAGGTGAAATGTTTCTGAATTGACATAAAATTAAACACTGCTCTCAGAAAACGACAGCTTTTCTACTTTTTTAATGTTTTGATTTATAACTTCAAATCATTTGTGTTGAGAAAGTGTCACAGCTGAATCTTGATTTTTAATTCCAGACACTGACTGAGGATGAAGGTGACTCCCCCTCTGCTTCTCTAATGGACCTGGTCAAAACTCCAAACATGAGAAAACACACTTTCATCCTTATGTTCAACTGGTGAGGTTCACTTACTGTACCACCAAAGATTTGTGGTTCAATATCTTTGAAATGAAATGTAAAAAGATATTGATTCTTGTTTTCCGTCCCTGCAGGTTCACCAGTGCTGTGGTGTATCAGGGTCTAATCATGCGTGTGGGGATAGCAGGAGGAAATGTCTACATCGACTTCCTCATCTCAGGACTGGTGGAGTTCCCCGCTGCCTTCCTCATCCTCTTAACCATCGAACGAATTGGTCGACGCCTTCCCTTCGCCTGCGCAAATATCGTAGCCGGAGCGTCCTGTTTCATCACCGCCTTTATCCCTGACAGTAAGAAGAACTTCTTATCCCTTGAATCAGTTTTTTTGCAACAACAATAATAATAGACGAGAAGCTTTACAAAAGAGCATCATGGGATAATATGCAGGAAGGATTTCTCCTTTGTATTCCTTGCGTTCCTGTTGTCCACACTTCCTTGCCGCTGCGGTGGAGGTCGGAGCAGGAAGTGCATGAATGAGAACGGTGGTGGTTGTGGGGACGTCACCAGTGGTGATTCTGGAGTCTGTTGGCGCCCAAGACAAAGATTCACAGGGGGCCCCTCCAAACAGCTATCATCCCCATTATGTTACAAATACAACAAAACAATTCAGCTGAAGTTATGTTGTTAAAGTGTCTCTCCTCCATATTAAAGGCTAGGAAAGCATCATTCAGTCAACAATTATTTGAGTGAGAACTGACATATGGGGCCCGCTTTGGGAGGTCTCCTACTGTCATTTCAGAATTTTCACATTATGAGCTACTGCTGTGGTTTCATGTGTATCGGCACTTGGGTGCCCCCTAATGGCCTGGGGCCTCCAAGCAGTTGCCTGCCTTGCCTCTGGACGTCACAGTCCAATGGTGGTTGCTGGGCGTCGTTTCTCGCTAATAGAGCCGCGCCATCCAAAGTGGGATGGATGCTGTCTCTATCCACACATACATTCATTAGAAAGACTTTCTCTGTCATTTGAATTCTGTTTAAAGTTATTGTTAAACGAAGGTGTTCTGTATACAAATAGGTTAAGCTTTCTAAATATGCACACAGTTCAAACGCAGCGCTGTCTCCGTCGCTGCAGGTATGTTCTGGTTTAAGACGGTGGTGGCCTGCATCGGTCGGCTCGGGATCACCATGGCCTTTGAGATGGTCGTGTTTGTTAACACTGAGCTCTACCCAACCTTTGTCAGGTAATATATCAGTCCGACTTTCACATTCATGACACAGTATTTTTTTAATTAAACAGAGAAATCGCTGAATTTTCGGGTTGTCTACAGGAACCTGGGAGTGTCAGTTTGTTCGACTCTCTGTGATGTTGGAGGCATCGTAGCTCCGTTCCTGCTCTACAGACTGGCTGTCATCTGGCTGGAGCTGCCACTTATCATCTTCGGTGGGTTTTCTTACATTGTCCTCAATGTTGACTGTGATAGTGATATACTGGACATCCAAAGGAACACACTTATTATAACTTAGAGATGATTTTCTGGCGCTACTGAAATGTTCAGTCTTCAATTTCATTTGTCCATTTGCATGCATGTTCTTTAGTTGCAGTGTTATGACATTTCAGGGGTAGTAGTATGTAACTAATTCAACCACACTTTTAAATCTCAATGATGTCATTCATACAGGAGCGGTCGCGTTCATCGCTGGAGGTTTGGTGTTGTTGCTGCCTGAAACCAGAGGAGTGCCTCTCCCAGACACCATAGATGATATTGAGTTTCCTAACAGGTGAGGTATCTCCCAACTCATCCTAACATTTATAAGAATTTCTTTCAGTGGTGGAAAACATAGAGGAATAGATAGTGGCAGACGAAATTCAAAGATCTTATACTTGAGTAAATATAGCAGAGAGGCACAAAAATATCCATGGTGCCCAAAGATTCTTTTTAAAATAGCACCAACTTTGCTTATGATAATGTATTCAATGTGTTAGAAAAAATAAATAACCACTTATACAGCACCTCCCCCAGATCTTCATGTTATGCAGATGATACTGCCTTCTATGTGAATGGAAGGGGGAGCATGATAAAGTTATTCACTGCTTCATAATTGGCTTACATTTAAGAAGAGAAAAGCAGCTATTAGGTTTCTTGGAGCTGCAATCTTCTATCACTACTTTCTAGTGTTGTATTACTCTAGATCTTGGTCTTGGTCTTGGTCTCGAGACCACGTCTTTCAAGGTCTATGTCTCATCTCGGGAATCACCAGCATTTTTACTCGGATTTGTCCCAGTATCAGACTATATATTAAGACCAGTCAAGACCACCACTCAAGGGCTATTTTTTCACATCATTGTTGTGATTGGAAGTATAAAGCCCCTTTCTAAAACAACAAATAACTACAAAAAACTATTTGTAGTTTGGTTTGCCCCCTCGGTAACGACCTTTGGAATGACCTTATAAGTCCTTATTTGTAACATGACATGATATCAGCAGATCACTTCTGAGTGTTTTAACTTTAAATATATTTGATCAAACAGCAACATTTTGGAATCAATAGGTTAACAAAGTGAAGTATAACAACCTCAAAACTGGACAGGCGTCAAACGTGATGTCTTACTCAGATAATGTATGAAATAATGCTGATCTGTTTTACGAACAGTTTTAATTCAAATTTCTATGATTTCCAGGAAAAAAGAGGATGTTGTGGAGAAGCAACAAAAGACGAAACTCCTAAACTCTGAGCTGACAAACAACAAAGAAACAACGACTGTGTGACTGTCTTTGTGTGCATGCGTGTGTGTAGTAGACTTTCATCACTGGGGGATACTGTACTGTATATGGCCCTCTGTAAAAAGTAAGAAGTGTTTTTAATATATATTTTCCATAAAGCATGACTTCCCCGTTTCCTTTGTATTACATTTTATTTTTCCACTCTTACAGAATTAACAAACCAGATCTCCAACATTAAGATGAACTGCTTCATATGTTCCCCTGCAGGAAACAAAACACTCGTTTTTACAAATGATACCAGGCAACAAACATGTTAAAGAGTTGTCAAAAAAAGAAACGAGCAGTATTTCTTTGTGCCTGTTCAAATTCAAAACTACTTTCCATGTTAAAGGTGGTTTGTTGTTAATTGGCTCTGATGGTAATTTCTATCCAGTCGATAAACTTTGAAACTCGGGCGTAGACACCGGGTTTCATGGCATTGGCGCATCCCAGACCCCATGATGTCACCCCCTGCAAGACAAACTTGTTCTGGGCATTGCACACCAGAGGACCACCGCTGTCACCCTGCAGGGAGGCAAAAAGGTAATATTATTAATTTCAACCGTTACAAAAATCAGACTGAAGGAGCCATTTTTACATATGCACTCCTTGACAAAGGTTCAGAGGGACTGAAATGCTGGGATTTTTTCTAATACATTGGTGATGGCGTGCAAGAGAAGTGTGTTTTTTCTTAGGGAACATAGGGCTTAGGGAACATAGAGCTGAGGGAACATGTAGCTGAGGGAACATATAGCTGAGGGAACATAGGGCTAAGGGAACATAGGGCTGAGGGAACATGTAGCTGAGGGAACATAGAGCTGAGGGAACATATAGCTGAGGGAACATATAACTGAGGGAACATAGAGCTGAGGGAACATAGAGCTGAGGGAACATAGAGCTGAGGGAACATAGGGCTGAGGGAACATAGGGCTGAGGGAACATAGAGCTGAGGGAACATAGAACTGAGGGAACATATAGCTGAGGGAACATAGAGCTGAGGGAACATAGAGCTGAGGGAACATAGGGCTGAGGGAACATAGAGCTGAGGGAACATAGGGCTGAGGGAACATAGGGCTGAGGGAACATAGAGCTGAGGGAACATAGAGCTGAGGGAACATATAGCTGAGGGAACATAGGGCTAAGGGAACATAGGGATGACCCTCTCAAATTCCTGCTACCATACAGCATTTTTTTTACATCCTTCTTACCTGGCAGCTGTCTATGCCTCCCTCGATGTTTCCAGCACACATCTCGTGGTCTCTGACTCTGCCGTTCAGGTAGGACGGACGATTACACATCTTGTTCTCGATCACAGGGAAACCAGCTTCCTTCAGGATGCCATCACCTCCCGTACCTGCGACACAACACACCTCCCTGCAGTTATCCACCCATACTCCTCTACCTCTATCATCATTACTCCCTTGAACTCAAGTTTTCCAGTATGGTTAGTTTGCAGGAAATGTAAAGAAGTTTACAAAAAGATGTTCTGCATAAATTAGACTTCAAATATACATCCCTTTGAGTCTGAAACATTGTTAACTTCTAAATCTCACATGTGAAGTTAATGTGCATAGGCTATAGTCCTCCAGGCGGGCGGCCCGGGGTTTGAATCCATCCTGGGGCTTCTTTCCCGACTCTATCTCTCTCTCCGATTTTTGACTCTACCCACCTTATTAACTTATAACATTACAATAATTTAAACAAGTCATAAATATGCACATGAAGTCCTGTACCTTGAGTTTCACCCCATCCGGTAACGTAACACTCGGTGCCACTGGGGACGATGTAGTCCTTCTCTGGCAGACAAGCTGGCAGGACTTTGTCATTTATTAATGCAGGGCTGAAACGCACAAACAAAAACATTTGAAATCAATTTCAGATGTGATTATTTTATTTTTTAAAGCAACAATATGTCACTTTTCCATCTTGAAATAGTCGTTTCAAAGTCGATCTAGTAGCACAAAAAATGTCAACAGGCAGAATAGCTTCTCTCCATGTCCATGTCCACAGATCGCCCTGGTTACCTGCTTATAGCTCTATTATGCTGTATCGTTTAGAGGGTCGTCGTTGTCTCATGTTTAGTAGCTTTACCGGGTGTAGAAAATCATCTAACCTGAGTTATGTCTCCAGCTTGCAATACAAATAAATAAATAAATCCATCTTACACAGAAAGCTGTCTCTACAACGGGCAGTAGAAGCTAGCCGTCAAATTTGTGCAATATCCGGTTATATAACTGTACGTTGTCGGTCGACTTCTCACATTCCCGCCCCTCTGCTTGTCAACAAATGCATGTTGTCTGTGCGCCAAAGCGTACCAAACCAAATTCCTACATATTGTTTCCTTTTAAAGGTTTTATATGCAATTTTTTGATCCAGCAGATGTCGCCCTTGAGCACCAGCATGAAACCAAAACAACTCGCGGTGCATTGTTGTGTTAGCATGCTAATGCTAGCGATCTTTATTATGCTGGTATCTTCACACTGCATGTAAATTTACCTGAAATGAGCGTGATCTAGAAACACAGTTAAGCAGTGAGTACAGTATGTTATTCTTCTTTTCTCTAGTCCCTCAATTAAACAACTTTTATACGCGAGGGGAGGAGTCGGCCGGCCGTCCTGGCGATGTAAACAAACTGAAGATAGGACTCTGAAAACTCTGAAAGCATCACAGACAGTGGGACTCGGGTGTTACACCCATTGTAGACAGTCATGACTCACAGAGTTATTTTCAGAGGATATACTTCTATTACATTTAAGTGTGAAAAATCACATATAAAACCTTTAAACACATAAAACATAATGATAAATAGCAGACGTGTGTCAAAATCGTATCAGTCTCTCTTTAAATCTTATTAAACTGTTATTTTTGGTTTTGTGTTCAGTCGTGCACTCACGTCTGCAGTTTCAGCAGAGCGATGTCAGCTCCGTTGGGTTCCAGCACCAGTTTCTCCAGGTTCTTCTCTTGTTTCGTCGCCTCATTGGCTCTCTCTGTGTGGACACCCAGGACGACCTTGTAGGCCCCGGGCCGCCTGGACCTACATGAACACATTCATAAACACACTCTAGTTTATCCAGTGTTTGTGTGGTTACAGGATTTTGGTTTGTGGATATTTTCGGTGGTTTCTCGCTGACCTCTCCAGACAGTGTTTGGCAGTCAGGACCCACTGAGGGTGGATCAGAGTTCCTCCACAGAAATGAATCCCAGTACTGGAACAGAGATGGACAGTAATGCATTACATTTGATACAAAAATAAACCAATTACAACACTATTAACATCCAATTTTATTTCAAAATCTACTGATAAACAATTTGAGTTGCTGCATTTCGGCTCTAAGGAATAAATATATAAAGGGACAAAACATTTTGAGCTAGAAATCAAAATAAATATATTGATACTTTGACATGAGCTATTATATGGTTCCATTACTTCTATAAAAGTACACATAAATAGTATGTCAAATATTGTATTGGTTATTCCTACATTGAAACCTGCCTTCAGGTCCTGAGCACTTACAGTGTTAAAGATGCAGCGCCCACAACCTACATTTCAGAGCGCTTCTCTCCAGTTTTTATCGTTCCGCTTCCCTTGGTAGAGCCCATTTTTAATCTGTCTGTATGCCTCATATATGCTTCATATCAAGAAATAGATTTCTAACCCTAGATGTGGATTCTCCGATGAGGGAGAAGTGACCCTGACAAGGCATGTTCAACTTTTTACAACTGATGTTGCAGACACACTTAACATCACTGTCTGAATACACTTTTTCCCCCCAACACATACATTGATGTTTAAAAACCTTAATCCTATTTGAGAATGTAGGAGTCATATTTTCTAGTTCTCGCTCTACTCACTTGGTGCGGAGGCTGATTTGCCAGGGCCACGAATGAGGTTTGGACACGCAGCCTCCAACGATCCGGCCGAAACAACGCTTTGGTTTGGTGACGGGAGATCCGCACTTCAGACCGGCTGAACGGCAAAGATCAGAGTTATGAATTGAAACAAGAGAGAGGGGGGGACCGATCATTTAATTTAATATGGTAGTTCAATCTAATTTTTATGCTGAAAGATAGTTCTCCAAGCGGACGGCCCCAGCTTGAATCTGACTTGTGGCTCCTTTTCCCTGAATGTCCTTCCCCACTTATTCCCTCCCTGATGTCATACTCCATCCACTATCCTACAATAAATTTTAAAAAGCCCAAAAATAAATCTTAAAACAGCAATGAAATTCTCACTTAATTTCAGATGTTTGTGAAAGTTGCAAAAGAATATGTCCTAGATGTTTTGTTCATTCCTAAATCCTAAAGGATGAGTTGAATTTTCTGAGCTGCAACAGAAGGCTCAGAGTTCAGAATGCATGCCATGTATATTTTGAAAAACTTTTATTTATACATTCTTGATTAACTTCTTACATTAGACTAGATGTCCAATATTTTTAAGTTGGTCAAAGAGTTCAGTTATTAATCGTCATGTTTCTTCACACTTAACGATGACGTACCACAGTCAGGGATCTGACAGTAGTCCCACTTCTTGCTCGGGTCAGTCGTGTAACACCACGGTCCATTCACGTCGTTGTCTGGGTTTCTGCAGCTCTGAAAGTGACACAAATGTAGAAAATTAAAAAGACATTAATATAATATTTACTTTCGAAACTTTTCTGTTTCTTTAATCTGGATCAAAATTATCAAATTCATTCAGTCTACTGCTCACTTTCATATCTGTTATTTGCTCCCTTCCTCTAAGAGAATTGTCCAAAATCGGGGCCCTTAATTATGACAGATGATCTGACATTTTTTGTCAGACATCCGGGCAAGGCTCAGTTGGTAAAGTCTCATTCTGTAGAAAATAATATCTCTAATTAGACACTAACTTAGCATTAGCAACCCCCTCTCTACAGCTCCGCCCTCTTGTCCAAATATGATCACCTGTGGCTACAAATCAAAGTTTACTGCCCGGATGAAAGGTTTTTTCAAATGCTGCACACAAATACTTACATTGCCTTCCAGACCCTTGTCTGGGTGGCTTTGTGGGGTGAAGCTGTTGTGTGTGTGAGGGTTCTGAGAACTCCAGGCCATGCAGGTAACGCCGAGTATGGTGATGGAGGTCGGACCTCTGTATGTACCCCCATTTCCAATCTTACAATCTAAGACACGGGCAGAGAAAAGAAACTTCAAAGAAAGCTTGAATCTGTAAAAAGAGGCACATTCTATGAGATAGTGATTTTACCTTCTGTCGCTGGGCCTTCAGTGGGGGAGGACGGGGGTTGGGGTTTGGTAGCTGTGGAGGAGGATCCTCCTCCAGAGGGACTGGTGGAGCACTTCTCCAGGTTGCAGTACTCCCAGCGGGTTTTGGGGTCCATTGTGAAACACCAGGGAGCCTTGTCGCCATCAGGGTTCCTGCACAGATTCCTCCTGAGATCCCTGTTGAGAGAGAAACCAGAAGCAATACATTTCACAGCAGCTGGAATAGAAAATCCAGTTTATAAAATGTTTTACAATAAGAGGAAGAAATTCTAAACTGCACATTCTTTAGAAGTTGCATTTCTGAATCCAATAGCTGAAGATTTTAAGTTCACACATCAACTACACTTTTTTAATTTCATTCTGATTCTGGCAGCAAGACCTCAAACTGAAATTAGATTTAAATCAACAGACTCATCAGATTACCCACAATTCATTGCAGTATAACCTGCTTTTCAAATGTACAAATATGGTGACTGGTTTCTTGTCAGCACAAAATTAAAATTCATTGGATGAATTTATGTTAGTAAGTCTGAGCTCATAAAACATTTTAATGGAGCCACAATCACTTGTGAGGTAATTAGATCAACGAGATGAATAAAATGGTTTTTTTTTACATCGGGGAAATCTTGAAGTAATCCATTTATACAAAGTAAAAATATGTTTCAAACAGAATGAAGCCAAATGTTTTGTTTGATCATCAACTTACAATCCTGGAGTTTAGACAAGACTTTATTTTGTAAGTGTAATTGTTTGCCATTTAAATGTGCGTTGTCATGGTGATTTTAAAATCGAAGAGACACTTGTTGATGCTCACGCGTTGGGGAAGGCCTGTGGAGTTTTCTGGTGGCTGTGAGGAGTCCTGGAGGTCCAGGCTTGGCATCTTTTCCCGCTGATGGTTTCTGATGTTATGCCTCGATAGCTGGAGCCGTTCCCCTCGTAGCAGTCCTCCTCCTCTGGTGGAATAACGGCGTCATCTGCAGGAGGAGGCGAGAATCAAACCTCAGGCATCGACACCTTCTTTATATACAGCTGGAGAAGGAGCTCGATCATCACTGTTGTTTTCTGAATTATTTATCTCTTATGGTTATTATGCATACGTCATGTATTTATACTCAACTCAGCTTTATTTATATTTAGTTAACTTCCTTTCATACATAAAAACATGCAGCCCAAAGTGCTTCACTAAAGAACAGAAAGAAAATAACAGACATTGAGAGCAATGGAAAAAAAATCACATAATGTTAAAACAAGAAAGAAGATACAGAAAGAATAAAATGATGAAATAGAATAAAATAAGATCAATGTATGAATCATTTGCAATAACACAAGGAATGAAAAGAAATGATCAAAATAGCCTAAATTGCTAAGAAATAAATGATAATATGACCTTATATATATATATATACAAATTAAGCATAGAAACTTCAAAATGAAAGCCGGAGGTTGTAAAAGCAAATTACCGTAAAACTTCAAAATAAAAGCTCATCCCGATTAAAGGCCCAGGCCCTTTTACTGGCCGGGTGTTGACACACATTTAAGTTATTTTATTGTGTTTTTTTCCCTTATCATAATTATATTAATCACACAGCTGATTTTAATGCCATCGTCTTTGATCGCCGTCTTACCCGGGTCGGCTCCACAGCTTGGCACTTTGCAGTACTCCCAGCGAGTCTCAGAGTCCGTGGTGTAACACCAGGGCATCCTCTCGTTGTCAGGGTTACGACAGTAGTTGTTGTCTAGGCCTCTGACGAGCAATCATACAGAATTAGTGTGAAATGAAGGTAAAATGAATCAAATGATAAATGAAACATTCATGTTATTATGTTTGTGTGTTTTTAACGACAGGATAAAAAAATAGAAGCTCACCAAAATAAAAGTACTGCGACTAAATCCTACAGTATAATAACTTAGACGTCAAATGTCAACTAAATGGATTCTAATTAAATGGAGAAACATCTCATGGATGTTCCTGCGTTCCTTACTTGCAGGGGTAGTTGTCTGGCGTGCGATTGTGTTTATGTGGCGTCTGAGTGGACCAGCTCTGGCACGTTTTCCCCGACTCTGTCACAGCTACCGTGCCTCTGTAAGCTCCACCTTCACCAGTCGCACAGGTCAACTCTGGGACGATGGTGGGGGGCTCAGATTCTGAGCGGAGAAGATGATATGGATGGGGTTGACAAACGAGTCAAGATGACTAACTTCTTCCTTCAATTCTCATCTTTTTACCTCTTACTTTTCTTTTTGTAATATCTCTATTTGTCTGCACTTTATCTGTTTTCAGCTGCAGCAGCAAGGCTCTTACTTGCGGGAAAAAAGCAATCCAAGAAAATTAAAGCCAGGGTTGGTTGTTTTCTAAAACTAGCATGATTTTGAAAGTAGCATTCCCCTCAGTGCTGCGTCTGTACCCACTCCCTCCCCTCTGTGCTTTCACTTTTAGGGTCCTGAAGCAAGAGGAAGTTTAACACCTTACTTGAGGTAGGGGTACCTCTGTGAGTATGAGCTAGTGACTGAAGGAAGACCTTTGGTTAAAGGGTAAGTGTACATATTTTAAAAGTAGCTACAATGAATGCTTTGTAGTTTGTTAACACATGTAGTAGATGCATGACTTTGAAGTAGTTTCTGACTCTCAGGGATTGAACCACAGGCCGATAAAATGGTAAAATTGGAAGAAGTAAAAGACGCATTATGCAAACTGAAAGGTGGACTTACCGCAGCGGGGTATTGAGCAGAAATCCCATCGTTTGGTCGGGCTGGTGGTGAAGCACCAGGGTCGAGGACTACCATCTGGGTTTCTGCAGTAGTTCTCCTCAAGATACTTCTCTGGAAGACTAGACAACACAGAAAGTGAAAGTAAATCTACTACTGTTTCTTTCTAGAGAATGTTTATGAAATAGCTGCTAAATTCTGCTCGTGGTTAATCGATAGATCGATGAGCTGTTGGGAGCTCTTACGCGCTAGGGTTGTAGCCATGGTTGTTAGGTTTCTGGGAGTCCCAGCGTTGGCAGGTGTTGCCGTTCTCTGTGGTGGCGACTTTTCCTCTGTAATCCTCACCGCTGCAGAGTATACAATCCTCTGTGAAGGAACAAGCACACGTTCATCAGATCACCTCTCTGCGGTGTTGGGCTGCCTTTCCATTTATTTCTGTTGTGCAAAATGTGTACAAAGGCATTTGTTGTGTGCTGTATTATCAGAGAAACATATCACACAGGGGGAACATATACCTCAATATTTCTAATGTATTTTTGTGTTTCTGTAGTGTCAATGCATAGGTCCTGTGAATGCATGAATGTCTTGCATAGCTTATATTGTATGTTCCTGGTTTTGTATCACATGACCTGTCAGGGGTTATATATAAATATATATGGAGGTGTATCGACTCATTTGTTCATGTCTGATGAACCCGAGACGTTACATGTGATGATATTTCCATTAAATTCAATTTAACTGGAGCAGCTTCTGGTGTGCAGACTTTTCTGTCTTTGGATGTTTTTTGATCAGCGCCCAGTACTTGAGTTTTGTAAGCTACATCATTGGAACTCCTGTATGCTCACAAAAAAAGTCTACTGCCATTCCTAAAAAACTCACATCCCTGATAATACACTCGACATGGACACAATCATTTAAATCCTACCAGTGCAGCTTTGTACGTTGCAGGTTTCCCAGCGGGTGCTTGGGTCTGTGGTGTAACACCAGGGTCCTCCTTCGTCTCCATCGGGGTTTCTGCAGAAGTTGGACTCCAGGTCTGCTAGGGGGTGTGTCTGCGCCCTGAAGCTACCGTAGACACATTTAAAGAAAATATTTAAATCTATGTGCTGGGTGTGAAAGTATGTGTTTAAAAAGACATAATATGTGAGTACACACTTTGTCTTATGTGGATATTGTGCTTCCCATCTCTGACATGCCTTTCCTGTCATCGTTTTGGACTTTGTTCCTCTGTAATCTGTTCCTAGTCCATTTACACACTCCAGTAGGTATCCTGGAAAACACAGAAAACCTGATTAGATCACCAGAATGAGAGATGATGAAAATATTTTCTGGTGGACATAACTTTGAGCAAATCAAACCTCAGGTACAGCGTCATCCCCAAAACAGATTTCAACATGTTTCCCTCTCCTCACTGTGTTTGTGGTTCATCAAAACATGACTGATCGTGCATCATAGGCTAAACATTAACCACAGTGTGATGAAGGTTACAAAACAAACAGAATTGCAAACAGTACAAGTGAAAAATAAGAGGAGAAAAAGATAGTGTTGTAGTCAAGACCACATTAACTGAGACCAAGACATACCCAAGACCAGAGTGGTCCTAGACCGAGACAAGACCAAGACATTTAGGGATCCAGACCGAGTCAAGACCAAGACATTTAGGGATCCAGACCAAGTCAAGACCAAGACATTTAGGGATTGAGACAAGACCAAGACATTTAGGGATCAAGACCAAGTCAAGACCAAGACATTTAGGGATCCAGACCAAGTCAAGACCAAGACATTTAGGGATCCAGACAAGACCAAGACATTTAGGGATCCAAACAAGACCAAGACATTTAGGGATCAAGACCGAGTCAAGACCAAGACATTTAGGGATCCAGACCGAGTCAAGACCAAAACCAAGGCAGGGTGAGACAGAGACAAGACCAAGACAGTTTGGGAATCGAGATCGAGTCAAGACTAGGACCACAATGAGAAATCATCCTCTTGTGAAATAAATCAAACTACAAATTAATTGAAGTGATTCGTTCTTTCAGAAAGGGGGCATTTTCCTTCTGATCAGAGTTTGCCAACACCGAGTAGAAATGCTTTCAATTCCCAGACGAGACCTTCAAAAAGTGGTCTCAAGACCGGTCTTAAGACCAAGACCGATTTTGAGTAACAACAGTAGAAAAAGACAAATGTACTTACCATTTTTCTCATACAAAACGGTGCTGGTTCTGCGCAGGACAGTCTCTACTTTGGAGTTTGCAGCTACTGTCCAACACTCTTGGTCCTTTTCAACATATATGAAAGCTCTTTGAAAACAAAGCAGGTAGACGTAAGGTTGGAATGCTGACCGGTAAATTAAATATTTGAATTGTTTAAAGTGCAAATGAAAAAGTTGGATTTTAAAATCGGGAAATTACCTGCACGTGAAAGTCGTTTCAGCATCACATTTGGCAGAACATGCAGTCGCAGTGTTTACTGAGTACTGTCTTTTCTGCAGTGAGAGGAGCCATGCTCCTCCAGTTCTGGTGTAGCCGTCCACTTCATCTCCACTTACTGAAATCAGAAACAAAACAAAATCAATCTATTGTCAAATATACAGAAAGCTGACCATCATTCACTGCATGAATACATTTTGTCCTGGACTCCAACCGGGTTATGGTTTAATGGGTTTAAGTCCCTCAATTTCAAAAGAAAGAAAATTGTATGAATAAAAACAAATTCATGTTGGAACACAAAAATGTTCCTAGTTGAATCATACAACAAGATTCCCAATTAAAATAGGTACTAAGACAGTGGTTCTCAACTGGTATGCTATGGGTTCGGGACCCACCACCACCCCTAAATGACCAGCCCAATTTGGCCGCTCAAATTTATTTAATAAAAAAAATAAAGCATTTTTGACAGTACCAAAGATCAAAGAATGCCGATTTAAAAACAAACAATGGTTTAATGACAACCAAAATGACCAGCAGGTGGCAGCACTGAAGAGGAAAATATTCCCTCTTCAATTCAATTAGCAGCTTTTTTCAACAGAAATCCACCAAAAAAGTGCATCATATTAAGCATGGTCTTGGTTTTGTGTTTATAAAAAAAGGATACTTGTCTCCTGCCACATTTGCCTGAAGAAGGTCCTTTGGATCGAAACGTTGCCTTTAATGAAGTTGCTCATTGGGGGCTGAACAGTCTGATGTTTCTCTTTTTTTCTGCAGTTTATACTTTTTGTCCTGCACCTTTATGCAATTTGCTTGGATGTGCGCACACTGGTCTTTTTTCTTTGTTTATTCTACTGGCCATAGGTCATGAGCGTTCCCTTTTTTTAAGTAGGTAGAGTTGTGTATCATCTGCATAACAATCGATTATACATATTTGCGTCATTGTTTGTATTTTCTTTTTAGTAATGTTTCAATAAAACAAGGAGACTGGTAGCTGTAGTTTTCAGTGGTGCAAAAATGTTTCTGATACATCGCAAATAGCGACTCGATTGTGACTGGCTGGAGAGGTGTGTGTTACTCTTTTTTTTACAATATGCTCAGGTGTAATTCATATCAGATCAGCGCTTGGATAAAAATTTAAACAACAATGTACAATTAATTTACTCTTACATTTGGATTATTCTATATCTACGTATGTCTGCTCAATAATGTTTAGGAGACTACATCCACATTATGTTGATAAGACACAAATTGAACAAAGTACCTGTATCCTCACTCGTCTTCTTGTACATACCAGCTTGTTTAAATAACGAAATCAGCAATGAAAAAACATTTCAATCAACTTTGACAGGCTTGTCATGATGGCGTAGCTTTGGTGAGAAGCAAAGTATCGTCTGTTTTTTTAAAAACTGTTTTACTTGTTAAAAGAGTAGAAATAATCAGAATTTGAATGTTAAGATGCTTCCATCTCTTACCTGTGCAGATCAAAGCTCCCAGGAGGAAAGCTATTTTGTACAGGTCCATGTTGAGGCCCTTTTCCTAGCAGCTCATAGTCGATTCCTCCTGGTGTATTATTGGGCTCCTTTTAGCGTGTCGGGGAAACAAATAGGACAGCTCAGTCATTAGTCAATCATTGGCATGACAAGGACGGTAAAAGATCAACAGGTCAAAAACCTCTCTTCTAGCTATTCAAAAAAAGAACACTACATAATGCATCACAATCATTTCTTTTTCTGTGATGAATATTATTTAATGTTTTTGAATGTAGCTGGTTGCTGTCTTAATAATAATAATAATAATACCTTTAATTTGTAACGCACTTTACATTTTTGCAAAAAAATCTCAAAGTGCTACAGGGAAAAAAATGAAAAGAAATAAAAACAAATTTCATCAACTAAGCCACTAACGAAACTAAAAGCACAAGCAGAAGGCTTTGTTAAAAAGGTGGGTTTTTAGGGCCCTTTTAAAAGCATCAGCAGACTGTGGGGCCCTCAGCTGCTCGAGGAGAGCGTTCCACAGACTGGGAGCAGAGGAGTCTTAGTCTTACCTTGTTTCACTTGTGGCACAGAAACTCATGTGAGGTTCTGTGTCTCTGCTGAGATGCTCCCAGATGTCCTCAGCTACACTTCAACAGCTACAGCACTTTTAGGAGACTTGCACAAGCATGAGCTTCGACCTCTTTCCATATAATTTGTTTTGCTTTATCAAGATGCCAATTCTTGTCTTGATTACTTCAGAATTATTTGTGTCCATCCTGAACATGCTTGTATTTCCTTTTGTGGGGATAAGAGGGACACTAAACATAAGTCAGAGGCTTTATGTTAAAGGTGGGGTGTCTTTGACAGTAGTTGTTCGTGCGGGCGTTTTACTGTTTTGATATAATGTCGACTTGATTTTCATTCACATTGTGATTACTATGTGTTCTGCATCAAATGAAATCAATATGTTTAGTTAATCTTCAGCTAAAAGGGACCAATGTCCTCGACTGCAAACACAAGATTACAAAACAAGCTACTTTAGACCGACCAGTGTTCGTACAACGTAGAAGTGAATTTGTTCTGTTACAGAGAAGCGTGCTCAAAAAAGAAAAAAATCACCCTTTAGGACTGCTTTCTGTTCAAAAATAAACATTAATGACGAGCTTTATTACGAGCTTAGTGATGTGTAGTTTTCATTTTGATAAGCCCTGTTGCCAAAGTTAAAAAATCTCTAAATAATCAGTGGTCTTTACCCAAAGCTTTGATCACATTTATGACCATAATGAAGAATTGAGTAATTGAATTTAACAATTTCTTCTCCAACCGAAAAAAAGAATCTCTCACAGCAATGCAGTGCAAAAAAATAGTTCACATTATTGTATGTACTGCTTGGTAAAACTCATCTCCAATATTCAGTTTATACATTTTCAAATGTGAGTTAAATATGAAGTAAGAACTTAGTAATTTCAGTTTATTTATTGGGGACCCAATAGGAAAAGCCTTTATAGGCAAATAGTAACAAATAATGATTGATTGTGTTATTTATTACTACAATTATTATTACACAAACTTAAAGTATTGAGAGCGTACCGTCTGTTTCTCCCTTTCCCCTCTTATTTATTACATTCATCTTTTATTCATGCTGTCCTTTAGGTAAAGGTGTAACTTTCAGCTTTATCTGCATACAAACCTTCACAGCATGTTCTTACAAACCACACACACACAAACACACACACACACACACACAGAAAACCACAAACACATAGTACCTCTATAATTGGTCATCTTGATCTAAATGGCATCAAAATGAAAATCCATGTAATGAGAAAAAACTGCCAGCAGAGGTCGCTGTTGATCACAAACGTGATATGAATGAATTCAAACTTTAAATACTTTTAGACAAACTCCAGCCTGCAGAGCTGATGATGCTCACTCCATGATGGAATAAAAAAAAAGAAAGTGCAGAAAATGTGAGTGCAACTGGCTTGAGACTTTACATTTGCATGTTCATTACTTCATATAAGAACCTGCTCAGTAAGTAAAATTAAGAAATTAAAATCTGCAGACTATAGTTAAATAGATTTATTACACAACATGTAACTAAACATTGTGGCAAAAACAACTTAAAGATGAATGAATGAATGAAACCTTTATTGCCCCTAGGAGAATTTGCCTTGCACTGAGAGCATAAAACACTACAAACATGTACAGTACAGCACATAAAAAAAACATTAATCGAGACATGTTATGAAAAATCCATTTTAAATTTTTTAACATATATTTGGGTAACCTGAGTGTCTACCGACCCACAACATGTGAAATAAATCCATCCATTCCTTTGTTTGTGGTCTGCATAAGTCTTACAACACAGAGAAAAATTCTCCATTTCAAATGTGCTCTCCTTGTGATGTCACAGTGGGATTGGTTAAAAAAAATCCCCTCCCCTCCCCTGATATCTCCACCCATGGACTCCACCCCAAAACTAGAACAAAACTTTTGTGCAGGTCCGCCATTTTCATTCTCGCTACCGAGGAGTGATGTCTCATTGCATTTAAAGAGACACACACACCAAAATGGAGTGTTCTAAGAGAGCTGGTTTATACAGGGTCACAAACCTCCTCTGGTGCTTGATTCATGTTATATTTTGACCAAAGCACAGCACAGATGTTTCATTTAGACCACAGGGACTGTTTGAAAAGATGGAAAAGGGGGATAATATTTCCTCTTTAAATAAGTCCGATTGGTTATAAAATATATCAGAAAGATGGGTCGCAATTTCTCATCAAGGAGTTTGTGGTGGGTCCTGAGATTAGACCAGATGAGAACCACTGCATCAGATAAACATTGAAAAATTTGAGTTAAATCAGTTTTTATAATTTCCTCTTTTTTAAATATCAACAATAAAAATATCTTCTCATCTCATCCCATGTGTTTGAATCATGAATGACCTTTTACTGTTTTTTAGTGCTTTTATTTTGAAGCACATTCTCATATGAAATGCGCCAAGGATAAGATAGCGGAAAGGATGTGAAGTATAATAAAGCTATTAATGATGATATCCCCAATGAGAATAAACTTTTTAGTGTTTGCCGAGGATTTGTGCTCCAAAGGTTAAAGTAGGAAATAGCTTTCATACAATAGTCGTCATGATATAATTCGAGTCATTTGACAGGGCAGGGGTAACTCAACACTTAAGATGTTGGTATTTTAAATATAATGTGTGTTTTATTCTTAACATATTTTCTGCTTTCTTTAGAGGTCAGCGACTGACACTCTTTTGAAAAATGAAAAATCATGATTTGATTGAACCGAAAAAAAAAAAAAAAAAACTTGTTTAAAGGAACTTGGAATTGAATTATTTTATTGAAAACATGTTAAAGACGTTTTCATCCGAGTCCTTGGGAAATAAAAGATACTTTACAAAACTTTAATCAAGGAAGTATGTGAGGTAGGAGAAGAACTTTAAGAAACTCTAACTCTACAATCTCAAAAATAAAATTGTAATAAGTTTTGTTAATGGTTCTGATCTGCAGTTTGAAAAGTGAATTACGTATTGGCTGCCCCCGCTGAGTGGCTCATGAAGACAATAAAAGTTAGTTCATGTAGTTGCACATCTCTCTAGTTTGTGAAGTCCCAATGTTAAGACTTCTGTGTGCCAGGAGTCCTTTTATTCCACCAAGGCCCTCGTCTTTGTAGTGCACCTGTGTTGACCGCACCTGATTCTGAAAGTCCCTTTTAAGACACTGACACACAGAGGAGATCGTCGGCCCTCGGTCCATGTTGGAATGTCAGTGAGTGGTCGTTGCCCTAGTTTTTGCGATGTGTCCGGCACCGTCGCTATACCTTTCGCCCCCCGTCGGCCTTTTTTTGGCCGATTTGACATGTTGAATTCGACATGTTGAATTCGACATGTTGAATTCAACATGTTGAATTTGACATGTCGATGAGAGTTCACATGGTGTTTTGAACTCAGATTAGCCGATTCCACTGAATGTAAAATCCTTCAAATGTCTGTTCAATGGACTCCTCAGTTCTGAATCAACGTTAGATAATAGGGACGTTCAGAGAAATAATCCGTTCAGTTCTTTTTTACCAACTCGTCTTATTGTTTCACACAGAGACTAAGTGTATCTGTTGTATTGTGTGTTCCTGCAAGTTGAAGGTCGGTCGCTTCCATAAAGTGGGGCCCTCAACAATACTTCACACAGAGATGGCGAGCGAGAGGTGTGGGTTCGCCGTTCAATCAATATCCCAACGCCAGACCTCAATTTAGAGATGTCCCTCTATACTTAAAAAAGGAAGAATGGATGCTTTCTGTGGCTGCATCGCTCAGGGTTTCAAGTCTTTCTTTTTTTTTAAATTAATCTTTTTTTTTTTTTCTCCTGAATTCATGTACACAGTTCATCACAGCTGTTCTCCAGCGTTACCATGACTATTGTATTGCTTTTAATTTCATTTCGTCTTTTGCTTCAGCTTTAGTTCAGGAAATTATTTTCGCCATCTTGGCCAAAATATCCTTGAAAAACACATTTCAATTACCTTGGACTGTCGTTTTCTAAGAGAGGTCAAACAAGACTCAACATGCACTCCATCCTGGATTAATTGTAGTTTCTGTACAGACAGCAAATTTAAAAAAAAAAAAAACAAGGGTCGCCCACATATGAATACTGTGATATACTCACTTCATTTACGGATTCAATCATTTGTTTTTTAGATTTTATTTATAAAACATTTTTGATTTTACAATACCCAAATACAGACAGAAAAGACAAACACAACAACAACAACAACAACAACAACAACAACAACAGCACAAGTCAAACTGACACCTTAAGAAAAGATAGGAAGTATGTGTCCATGTAGTCCAAATGTAGATTACATTGTCCTAAGATACATTGATGGTCAGGGATAGAGTCCAAAAAAAAGCAAGATAAAGCATGACTGAAGGAAGGTCAGGAGAGCCAAATAAAATAAAAAGTAGTACAGTTTAGGATATCATAGTACATTACATAGCAATATAAAGCATTAAAATACAATCAGTTCACAGTTTGAGTTCTCTCCTTCTTAACATACTCAATAAAAGGTCCCCAAAT